GCCAAACATCTCGGTAGAATTTATAGAATAATGTAAATATATATATATATATATATATATATATATAACTATATATAAAATTTAACTATAAATATGTTTAATTTTTTAATTTTATGTTCAATTTTATGTTTAACCATATTTTAAAGGTACGTTACATTATTACACTATTATTATCAACATTCAATATATAATTTAATTTCATCCTAATATTATTTTATATCTTCCTAATTTATTTCATTTCAATGATTTTAATATTTTAATATTATTCACAATAATATTCAGCTCCGATGATGGCTAAATAGCGGAAACAGCGCTGTCAGCTGACAATTTCATGGATGTTTTGAATAAATACGAATTAAAAAAACTACGTGGTGTTGAAGTTCTTATCAATAAAACTTTTGAACGCAGAGTGGGCATACAAATTAATTGAAATATGCATCAACGAATGCCTCGTCCCAAACTATATATATATATATATATCATGTGTTATATATATATATACATATATATATATATATATATATATATATATATAGCAATCATAAATTAATCAGCCTTTAAAGTCCAACAAAACTAACCGGAACATTGGACCTGTGGAAAAAATAAATATACATCAGTTCAAGCACTTCAATTTATTAATTTTTATATGTAAAAGGTTAAGAAAAGTGACATTTTTATTAAATAAAATAATTAAGTATATATTATTACCAGCTGTTAATGATGCGTTTTATGCTGGGGTGCACTGGCTATGAGACGCGTCCCCAGATGGTGGATAGGAAAAAGTTCTGGGCAGGGAGACCTTCTAGGATAATACGGAATAAGATGCCGCAAACCAACTGCACCAAAAGAAAAAAGACAACGATGAAAAAGGCAGAGGATCCTAGGACAACGCCTCCAACAGCGGATGATCTTCGATTCTAAATCTAATGCCTTGTGGAACAGGGACCTTTGACCAAAAGGCTAGGTGCACTGCATACAACAGTGCTCTCTTGGGCACGAGATAAACTACAACCGCGCTGCCTTCTGTGCTTCCAGCACAAAGTCTAGGTCCACTTCTTATAACTGGTGGTTGTCGTTAGAAATTGGGCAATTCCAGATACAAAAATTTTTTGACCCAAACATTTTCCATGTTATCACAAAAAAAAGATCCCCTATTCCCTGGAGGACCTTAAAGAGTCAAGAGGTGACAATAGCCAGGAAGTACGCAACAGTGGAGGGATGTTGCAGAAAATCGGGCGTCCCCTCCTGAAATATCAGACTTGGCACTTTAAATACTGGACCGCTTACTGGACGCTCCATGGAGATCGTCGACATGCTGGAAAGGCGATGAGTCGACAACTGTTCTCTGCAAGAAACAAGATGAAAATCAAATGGTGTCTCTCTCATTTGGAGTTACAAGTTGTTCTGGAATGGCCAAAAGACAGCCGAAAATGGAGTGAGAATCTTCATACGGGAATCACTGGCACATAATGTACTGGAAGTAGTTCGAATCAGCTCACGCCTAATGCTGATTAAACTCAGAATGGGAAATAGGTTCTGACTGTTTTCTCTGCATATGCACCACAGACCGGTGAATCTGAAGACGCCAAAAATGACTTTTGGAACACACTCCCAGATGCCGTCGGAAAACACCATCATCAGAGATACCATTGATATGTGGCGACCTCAACTGCCATAATGGAGATAAAGCAAATGGGTTTTACGGCGTCCATGTCCACTGAAATGCACCTCATTTCAGGGTATACGTCTTCTGGAACATCCCCTGAAATATATTGAAAAAGTCATTGAGAGAAGACGTTGTCGTGCGTTTCAATAGATGGTTACCAGTACGGCTTCATGGCAGGAAGATCCAACATTGATGCTATCTATATCATTCGTCAACTACAGGAAAAATACATGGCAAAGCAAAAGCGACTGTTCCATATCTTTGTGGACTTGGAAAAGGCTTTTGACAGAGTGCCTCGTGAGGCAATCAGGTGGAGTCTACGTAAACAGCTTGTTCCCGAATATCTGGTTCAGCTGGTTATGGCAACGTACTCTAACACAAAAACTCTGGTTAGCACAACAGCCGGCAACACGAATGAATTTGATATTAACGTCGCGTCCATCATGGATCAATACTCAGCCCCCTGCTCTTCAGCACGGTGATGGAAGAAATAACTAAACCGATACGCTCAGATAACATACAAAACGTGATATATGCAGATGATATCGTCCTGACGACGTCCTCTGAACAAGACGCAGCCAGAAAGTTTGAGGTCTGGAATACCCAGCTTGCCGAACACGGGCTAAAGGTAAACCTTGACAATACAAAATCTATGATTACCGGTGGTACCGCTGAGCCTGTGGTCTCTGGTCATTGGTCATGCTCGGTGTGTGGGGTTGGAGTTGGAAGCAACTCGATCAAATGCCTACGATGTCAGCAGTGGTGTCACAGACAATGCTCGAAAATTACCGGCTCACTGAGAAAAATGACTGATTCAACGCCTTATCAACATGCGACAACGGAGCCCAGATAATGATAGGATTACCGGAATCAAAGCTGTTACTTCATTTCAGTATTTTGGAGATATGCTGAATTGTACTGGAACAGCTGATGCCACCGTTCGGGGACGCATACGTACGGCGTGGGGCAGATGGCACCTCCTTGCCTCGGTACTGATGCGGCGTAGCATTCCTCTAACGCTGCGCTCAGAGCTAAACAACACAGCTATACGTTCTGTTCTGATGTATGGTGCAGAGACGTGGGCGATGACAACAAAACTCGAACAGCAGCTTCACCGAACTGACATGAAGATGATTCGTTGGATGCAGCATGTTGACCTAAGGGACCATATCCATAAAGCCGAGATCCTGAACCGATTGGGACTCTGCACGTTGAAGGATGCGTGTCGTCATCGCCTACGATGGGTTTAGCCATGTGAAGCGAAGCGAAAACGATACAATAATTTCCAATAAATGCACCTGGTGCTCACCGTTACTGAGCACCAGGTGCATGGCACCCACCCAAGAGGTCGCCTAAAAAAAGTCCTAGACGCAGACCATACTGGAGGACTTGAAGGCACTTGGTCTCAAGGAGACAGACGCAATGGATAGATCGGCTTGAAGACAGAAACTGATGAATGGAATAAAAAAGTCTGACCCATAACGGATGGAGACTACAAACGAGAATTGATTGTTAATGATGCGAATGTGTCCTTGACCTGCTTGGTCTCCAAGCCATGATTCACATTGTTTTCTTGCAAATAGAGGTTTTTGATTTTATTAAATTTTTGTGATGTGTTTGTGTAAGATCAAAACTGTAGTAAAAAATCAAATTAATGAAACATCAAAAAATTATTTATAATAAAAGTATGCTTACGTAGCTGTGTTGGTAAATCTTGGTCCATCCTAAGGTCTTTTGAAGGACAAAAATGATGATGATTAAATGATGGTTATTTGTGTAAAAAATCAAAAATCAACTCGAGCATTCATGTAATTAAGAAGTTAATGATACACCAAAAAATTATTTATAATAAAAGTATGGTTACCATGATGAGGTTGCAAACCATGCTCCAGAGGAATGTTTACTCAAGGACAAAAAAAATGACGATTAGGTGATAGTTATGTGTGTAAAATTACATGTAAAATTAAATTACAAAAAAATTACATTTGTATCAAATAAAATAATTAAATATATATTATTACTAGCTGTTAATAATGCAGATGTGTCCTTGACCTGCATGGTCTCCAAGCCATGATTCGCATTGTTTTCTTGCAAATAGACGTGTTCTTGATTTTATAAAATTTTTGTGATGAGTTTGTGTGAGATCAAAACTGTAGTAAAAATCAACTCGACTGTTTATGTAATTAAGAAGTTAATCATAGACCAAAAATTATTTATAATAAAAGTATGCTTACCTACAAAAGTTGGCAAGTCTGGGTCAAGGTCTTCTAAAGGACAAAAACGATGACGATTAGATGATGGTTATGTGTGTATACTCATCATGAATGTGTGATCATAATGATATGATAAGAACGGTAGGTGGTTAATGCAGCACGTTTTTTTGATGTGTTTGTGTGAGATCAAAACTGCAGTAAATAATCAACTCGAGCGTTTACGTAATTAAGAAGTTAATGATAGACCAAAAAATTATTTATAATAAAAGTATGCTTACGTAGTTGTGTAAGTAAATCTTGGTCCGTCGGAAAGCCTTTTGAAGGACAAAAAGGATGATGATTAGGTGATGGTTATGTGTGTAAAAAATCAAAAATCAACTCGAAAATTTATGTAATCAAGAAGTTAAAGATACACCAAAAAATTATTTATAATAAAAGTATGCTTACCTTGATCAAATTGCAAATCTATCTCCTGAGAAATGTTTCCTAAAGGACAAAAAGGATGACAAGGTGATGGTTATGTGTGTATAACTCATTATGAATGTGTGATCATGATGATATGAAGTGAACGGTGGGCGGATGATGCAGCACCTCAACAGAAACTACTAAATTTTATCAACATTCTAATTTTATTGAAATTTAAAAAATTATTTAAATGCTTTGTTAGAGAAAACAGTTTCAACTACAATTAAAACATAATTGTATACCAATATCATCCAATCTGGGTCTATTATCTGGTCCATATAGAAAAACATCTTTCTTTAGAAGCCAAGAGATATCATTATGCCTCTCAGGACTCAAGGTTGAAAGTAAGAAGGCTATACTGCCATTATGACTATCATCTACCGAATTAACCATTTCCAGCTTATTTGAAAAAGATGGGATTTCAGAATGGGAAACTTCTAAATTTTGCTCTTCAGTGCCATTTTCACTAGATTCAGCGGCTAATTCTGTTGTAGCACGTTTTTTGGATGTGTTTGTGTGAGATCAAAACTGCAGTAAAGAATCAACTCGAACGTTTATGCAATTAAGAAGTTAATGATAGACCAAAAAATTATTTATAATAAAAGTATGCTTACCATGACCAGATTGCAAATCTATCTCCTGAGGAATGTTTCCTAAAGGACAAAAAGGATGACATTTAGGTGATGGTTGTGTGTGTATAACTCATTATAAATGTGTGATCATGATGATATGAAGTGAACGGTGGGCGGATGATGCAGCACCTCAGCAGAAAATATTAAATTATATGAACGTTTCAACAACATTCTAATTTATTGAAATTAAAAAAATTATTTAAATGCTTTGTTAGAGAAAAAAGTTTAAACTACAATTAAAACATATACCATACCATTATCATTATATATCAATCTGGGTGTATTATGTGGTCTGGGTTTAATAACATGTTCAAGGAGACAAGAGATGTCATTATGCCTCTCAGGACTCAAGGTTGAAGGTAAGAAGGTTATACTGCCACTAGAACAATCATCCACACTAACCAAACTAACCATTTCCAGCTTATTTGAAAAAGATGGTATTTCAGGATGGGAAACTTTTAAATTTTGCTCTTCAGTGCTATTTACACTTGATTCACTGACTGTTTTATCAACCTGATCATCATGTAAGTATCTCTTCCAATCTGCATCTTTTTCTGATGATTCTTGGCTGCCATATGGTTTAAAAATATGATAAATATCCAACCTGATCAAAAAAATAAATTTTATTACCAAAACATTGTTAATATTTATTTTATCATCTTATTTCAATATAATTCTTGAACATTATTATCGTCTCTTTCCTTATTTTTAGAATTCATGCAAATTCAATAATTTCCATTTAACAAGCAAGTCACTGATAATAGAATGAATATTTAAATTAAATCCAAGTGTTACTTATTTGTTTATTTAGTGATGTTTCTATTTGTTCAATAATGTTTATTTAATTTATTTTAACAAAGTCTATATATATTTAATGATGTTTATGTTCAGAATAACTTTGTTAAATATTTTAAATAACTGAACCATGTGAATCTTTATAGAATCTTTTCATATTTTTATTTAATAAACATCTTGGGTTGTTTCAAGTTTTAAGTTATGTCATTCTCACGATAACCCAGTAAATTTAAAAAAAAAATATAATAACGTTGCTAGAACAACAATGAGCAGCATTCATTGTTCCACTTATATTTTTTTTAATTAAATTTTAAATATTGTTCTGCAGTTTATAAATTGATTAATTGAATAAAAAATTTTTATGTCAAAGTTAAGTTAATACTGGTTTAACTTAATATTTTAATAAGGTCATTATATTAGACTTTTAATAAATTTTAAGCACAAACAAGTAAATCTGAGTCCAAGTTTTTTTCTTTTTCAATTTGAGATACTTGACAATTTAATTTTAATTTAATTAAGTAATAATTGGTAAGTAAATAAAAGCAAAGTAAAAAAAGGCAAGCAAAATAAGGCATTCCTGATTTAGGAAAATGATATTGATAGTAAGTAACTAACTAAATAAAACAATTTAAAATGGTACTATCTATTATATTCTATTGCCATTCACTATTATTTTTATTTTACAACTTATCTTATATAATAAAATAAATAATAATAACTCTGAAGGAGCGTCCAATGAATTTCCTCCAGTTTCAGCAACAGGCATGAGCATTTCAACGTCAAATTTTTGAGTCTGACAAATAAAAAGTTCAACAAATATTACTATTGAAGAAACGATCAACTTCTTCTTAACACTTTTCCTAACCACATAACCATTGGGCTGGTATTCATATATATTATTTATTCATATATATTCCTGTTGCCACAACACCAGGATCATATATATTCAAGAATATATATATATATATATATATATATATATATATATATATATATATATATATATATATTTGGTAAAATTAGGAAGAAGACCAAGTTCTATACAGTCGTTCAAAAAATCGTCGGGGGATTTTTTGAACAACTGTATATATATATATATATATATATTGTTCGCGAGCAGCGACTTCTCCATATATATATATATATATATATATATATAATTATATGTATATTACTAAAATTAAACGATGATTCATAAAGTGCTTCTTAAACAAAAGGTTCTCAAAAGCACTAACAAGTACAACAAACAAAAATAAAAACAAAAAATATATCGTAATAAAATATAAATTGATCGTCAAATACAAGAATAAAAATGTTGATTAAATAAGTGCGCTTTCAACTGTTGGCAGAAAAAAGAAAGCAAGAGTCCAGGTATAAGAAGACTGCAACAAAGTATTAAAGATCGGGTTTTGTGGAGGTCTATGGTCGCCAAGGTCCTGAAAGGATAAGGCACGAGAAAGAAGAATTCAGTGAGTGTCATAGCTCAATTCTTCAAATTAAAATTTCATTGTCAACAAAACAATACAATTTATAATGGCAATATTCATTTAATTATTTATTAAATCTTGAACATATCATATATCGCATATGTAAGTAAATTAATTAAATTTGATTATACCACACAGACACACACACAGACACGCACACAAAAAACACATACAAACACACACACACAAACACACACACACACACATACATACATACATACACACGCACACACAGACACACACAAACACATACACACACACACAAACACAGACATACTCATTTTTATCACATTTAATAATTTAAACATAACAGGCAAATTTCATGAAAATGGGAAATGCAATTATTAATATCCAAGAAATTGGCTTGTGGTAAGTTTTAGCCGGTACATTTCTAGTCGGTACTACTGATAACATTTCTAGTCGGTAATACTGATAACATTTCTAGTCGGTACTACTGATATCAATTTTGATAAACTGGGGAAGTGAGTGGACGAAACTTGCCACGCCTACATGTCAATCCGTTTTAAGCTCTTATGCAATTGGCTGATGTTACGTTTGCAATATTATAAGCTGACCGGTCATAACGTTCCAAGCGGAAAATAGGAACAAGTGTTAGCCTTTTATTTTCAGACGTTGTATTAACCGTCTAATGGAAAAATATTTAATTAGAAAAGTATGCAAAAGGTATTTTATATTACTGAATTGATGACAAGTCTATATTCATATGTTAGCGCAATACATGGAATTTTATTATTGGAGTTGAGCAATAACATTTGAACTATAATCTACCATGAAGCATTTGCTTTATTAAATAATATTTACATTCTGGTAGAAGTTCCTTTGTATAATACGTATAATATATAGTGATCGTGTGACTCAATGGCAATGTTCGTTTAGGCACTGTAAATGATTATATATATGTGTGTATTTAATTAAATTCAGCATATATATGTAAATAAATAAACATAGACAGTATTTGCATTTTTCAAACTGAATATGAAATGTCAGAATAGTATGTCTATGTCTGTGTCTAATTCTATGGTTGTTGCTATGGTAAACATGTCAATATTAAACGGTTAAACAATTTTTGCAAATTAGGTTGCTGTGAGATAAATAAATTAATAAATATGCATCAATTGTGGTCTATACTTATTTGATAATTAACATTTGTAATTTTAATTACTTTACAAAATTTAATTATAAAAAGCTACATACATTGAATTAACTTATTTTTATTAATGATGAGATGCTGCAGCAGATGATTCATAAAGTTAAATAAAGATTAAATTAAAAATTAAATTAAATATTAAATTAATTTAATTTAAATATAAAAAAATAAATAAGTCAATTTGTAATTTATTATCTGGTGAGCAAACTATAAAATTGGCGCCCCCCTTTCCATGTCTAATCACATTTTTTTATTAAAACTTAATGTTTACACAAAAACAATTTAAATTTTAGTGGACATTGTATTTAAAGATAAAACATAGATATTCAAATTATAGCATATGATTCAGTCACTCTCAAAGATAATTTACATAGTTTACTCTTGCTGTGAAAATTGTGTCTGATTCATACGTTCCCCTGACCCCCTAGCTTCACCTCTATAAGCAACTGTGTATGCTTTATAAGCTTCTAGTAAACTGTTTTCATGTTTAACTGATCATAAACATAATTAACAGTTATTTTTAATGCTTGTCAAATAAAATAAAATCTGAATATTTCAGAGCAAATATGAATGACCCTTGGCAAACCAACAAAAGGTACTAATAAACAAATATAAAGTATAAACTATATTTCAGATTGAATTTACTATTTATTACTTAAAAAAAACTTTTTCTATAGTTTAAATTGGAAGCCACAAACTTTTTTATTCTTTCATTTTTTTACGTACCTACATTTAATTTATGCACTCAGACAATTCATTCATTCATATAATTTAGCAGATCACCGATCAGCAAAGGAGTCGACTTTCTGAAAGATTCAAGTTAGGTTTTAATGAACCTTTTGAATTTTATATTTCTTAACAATATAATAAACGACTTTCTTACACTGCATAATAATATAAATTTTATAAAATATTTTAGTTCTTATGAATTAAATCATTTTTCCTGTAATAAAGATGAAAAAATTCCCAAAATTTCTCCAAGAAACTTGCAGAAAATACAGAAATCTAATGAAGTTGATGGTTGTCAATGATTTATTAAATAATAAACTTTGTTTTTATTTTTTTAAACATAATTTTGAATAATTAACTAATCAAACAAAATCTTGGATAAATGTGTGATGAATGTTTATTTTTCGTAGTTTATTCCATGTTTATATGTCTTTTTTCCCAACATTTTTATTTGCTTTGATTGTATTTGTTAAAATGAAAATTTTCATTTGAAAGAACTTACTCTGACCAAAAACAGAACGACAGGCACTTTTGAGTTGGTATATTTTGAGATTGAATGTTTCACACATTTATCTGAAAATTTTCATCTCTACATAAAAATGGCAGTTACAAATTAAAGAAGAAAAAGAAGAATATGTTTGATGAGGACGATGAAGATGAAAGCGATATAGGTGATTTTAATCTGTCTCAGAGGTCTTCTAATCTTTCTTCTCTTCGCAGTTCATCAAAGATTGATAGTAGTAGGCCTAGCAAATTAAACCCAGTTGATGGAGATCACATGAACACGAGATCAAACAAGTTAATCCATGATGATAAAGATTGCATAGAAAGAAGATTAAGCAATTCGAATCATAATGATAAAGTATACAATGAAAGGAAAGCATCCAAGTTGGATGCAGTTGGCGGAGGAAATCTCGTCAGGAGCAGATCTGGCAGCAACAGTAAAACAGATGATGATGGAGATTACGTTAGGATGAAGTCGAAGATGAGAAAGGATGCACCAGGGGCAGATGAAGGGAGAGAACTTCAGCAGAACAGCAGCAGCAGAAGGAGCAGCATGTCGTCAACAAAGAACAGCGGCAGCCTAGACGGTTTCAATCGTAACGACCACAACTTCGCGAGTCAACATCGTTTTAGTAGAAATCAAAATAAAAACCGACCTACGATCTTAAAGAATAGTGATGACGATGATGACGACGACGACGATGATGAAAGTGACGATGATGACGACGACAACGATGACGATCACTTGAACAGTAGCAGAAATAGTTCGAAACATTCAAATGAAAAATTTAACACAAAAAATAATCTAAACATCAATAATAAAAATCTTATTAAGAATAAAAACAATAATATCGATGATGAACATGATAGAGGTAGGAATCATCTAATAAGTGGTTATCGTGACGATGAGTACAAAATGAGAAAATCAAAGAACGATTTCAGAAAGGGAAGCAGAGAAAGTACTTCCAGCGAGAAAAATATGAAGAGTCCAAAGCACACAACGAAGACATCACCAACTGCGTCATCACGTGCGTCATATTCATCACCGAGATCTCTATCCAGAGCATCCACACCGCAACATTCAAAACATGATAAGAAATCGAGAATGGATCAATCACATTTGGACGGTTTCTTCAATGGTGGTGGTACACCTAGGAAATCTCAAAGTAAATATGAGGTTGACGACGATGATGATGACCGTGAGGAAGATGATGATCGTAGTTTCAGTAATGGGCGAACAATAAATATGGACAAGAGGAAAAATGAAAAGTTTGCTTCAACTGAAAATTTTAATGAGGAAAATTTGAAACAGAAAAATCACAGATCAGGAAAGGAGAATGTGCATGAGGAGAAACGAACAAACTTTAAAGATGGAAAAACGATTGATTCGAAAAGATCGTCAGCACCATCATCCAGGGCATCATCATCATCACCGCCACCTTCATCATCTAGGAAGGGCTCACTTGGTCTGGAAAACAAAAGATCCCACTACAATTTGAATGACTCCATGAACAATTCACAACCGTCCATGAATGAGAAGAACAAGAGCGTTCACAAGCCAACTAAATCAATTTTGAAACCAAATAATAATCGTGGTGTTGTTGAAGATGACGATGGCGACGACGACGATGATGTTGGTAGTAAGCAACGCAGCAAGAAACATCTCTCCACTGACAAGTCAAAAGCTAAATTCGATTTAAACTCAGTTAGCTAAAAATTATTTTCATTCAAATTAATGGAAATTATTAAAATAATCGTTTAAGTATGATTTTTGAAATAGTTTCATCTTTTTGTCCACAGTTTTGTTTTATTTTGCATAAAGGATAAAATGTCTGGTTCAGAAAGTGAAACATCAGTTTGTGAGGAATTTTTTAGGGAGCCTAAAAAAGCGAAGAAGAAGGTTCCTCAGAAGAACCATTCTGCCAATGATAGTTCCAACAGCGAACACGATGAACACGATGATAAAATGTTAGTCTGATATTTATAGATATCTGTTAGATATTTATTATTAAAAAATAATTAAACGTTTCGGTGGGTGCCGGGTTGACGTTTGATAGAATTGAATCTATTTACAACAGTTGGATAAATAGCAAAGAACGACCGTCACGCAGAATGTTGTCCAGCGTCATCAAAGATGTCAACGACGCCCAACTGCACCAACCTGATGTGACGTCATCGACGACGAAATATGTTAGGAGGAGTCAGTCGTTGCTCAGATTCTTGTTAGGTTCTCTTCAATACCATTCAATTCAATGAAACTTTTTATTACCTATATTATTGACAATGCTGATGAAATAAGCAGCTTAATCTAAAATTGTGCAAGGTAAAAAATTAATTTAAAATATTAAAAAAAGTTGTGAATAGTTAACTACTAATACGACTGAATAATTACTTTCTGAATAGCTTAAATGTTGTTGCGTTGCAGATCACCAGACAGCACTGGCAAGAGTAAGGTAGATTTGAAAAACGTGAAATCTCGATACAGAGGAGATGCCATGGAAATGTTGAAAAAACTGATGAACAGCTCAGGAGAAAGAGGAGGTGGCGGTGGTAATGACGACGGCACACAAAATTCGACGCTAACTATCAGGTTCGTCTCCAAGAGGTATAGAGGTAGGACTGGCTGTAGTATGATTAATTGTAAAGATTCACTTCAGTTGAGTTTTTAAGGCATTGGTAGAACGCGATACAAAAAATTTGTGTAAAAATGTTCGAGTCTACTTATCATTTGGTATATTTTTTTTCATTCACATTTTATTTTGATAATTGCCATTTTTAATTGTATTCGTACAGGTGTAAAATTTTTCAGGAATGGAATAAAATTGCATCAGAAAGGTTCAAGAAAGAGCAGTTGGAGAAGATGGAGAAGAAGAAGGAAGAGGAGGAGAAGAAGAAAATGGTACTTTCAATTCTTATATTCATCTGTGTTTTTAAATTGTGCCTTTTTAATCATGTTCTGATTCAATTTATTTAGTTGGTTGCTGAGAGCTAATTGTAGTGATGCTGACGTTCAATCCTACACATATAATTTCATTTTTTAATGTTCATATTTGGTTGTTTTTAATTAATAATTAAATTATTTATTAATCTATTTGTCATTTCTTTATCGAAAAAATCATGTTAACACAGTTTCCACTGCAAAAATGATATTGAATGATGTTATTTAATGTAATCATTATAATTAAATGATTTTTCAACGTTTATAAAACAACATGAATGAAAATTGAAGGAAGAGGATCGCAAAACTAACGAATCGAAGGCTTATTTTGAAATGTGGAAGAAAAGTAAGGACAAAAAAATTAAAGAGGAAAAAGAGAAATTGAAAAAAGAAGAGAAAGAGAAGAAAGAAAAAGAGCTCGAAGATTCCAAATCAAAAAAAAATGATGCTGAAATTGTAAGCATTTCTTTTTCATTAACTCTTTTTTGATCAAACCAAGCAGCTGTTTGAAATTTGTTCTCAACAGATTTTTGTCAAATGGAAAGAAAAAAAAGATGCCAAGCTGAAGGAAATCAAGAAAAAAGAAACGAAAAAGAAAGCAAGTGTAGAAAAGAAAAAAGTTGAGAAAGAAAAAGAAAAACTGTCTGACGCTGAGAAGGCCTTTGGAGCCTGGTACGCACCAGGAACACTGTTTTTTTAGTGCATCTGTGTTTTTCTGGGTTTTTTAGTTTTTAGGCAATCAGTTATTTTATATATTTGAATATTTAAAAGCCGTTCGTAAACTATTAAAGGAAAAAAATGAAAGAAGAAGAACTGAAGAAAACGATTAAAGATAAAAAGAGGAAAGAAAATAAAATGACGGATGCCGAGATGAGAGAAAAGGTGGAAAAAGAGAAGAAAGCGCTGGCATCTTATGAAGATTGGTGTGCTAAGAAGGTTGGTATTCCATTAAAACATCCACTATTTATTCGATGCTTAACGCAGCTCGTAATAAGTGAGTTTTCTTTTATCAGCTTTTCTTGAAAACATCGTTACTTCGATAAAACTTCGACTTTTCCAGGATCCTGGCTTTCTTATTTTTTTTTACAAAATAAGAATTATTTTACATTATAAATAATTTTTAAAATATGATAAACAACATGAGAATATGATTATTGCTTATTATTGTGCCAACAATTCTCGGATTATTGCTTATTACTGTGCCAACAATTCTCCTATTTGGTGAAAACAGTCTCATGTTGTTGCCTACTCCTCTTCCCTCTCTTCATCTTTTCCTCATTAGCGAGAAATGCTGTGTTCTCCAGAAAAAAAATTAATTGATCGTAATATTTAAAATAAAATTGTCACTATCAGTTTAAGTGAAACTTAAGCGCCCACAAAACTAAGTTTAATTTCAGATTTAATTACAAGTTATACCTGTGTTAATAAACAATTAATGTTATATGAAATGCCAAACGAACAGGACAAGCAGTCGAAGGAGGAATTCTATAGCGAACAGCTTCGTAAGTATTCCAGTTACGACGAATTCAAGAAACCTTGGAGACCAAGTAGCTCCAACTCCACATTAAGAGTTACATGATGACATTAATGTGAATTAGGTTAGGAGGAGGATGTTAGTAATGGCGATGGTGAAAACTATGACGATTTTGGTCGGACTAGTAAGTTTAGGAATTTAATTTATTTTTATTAGACTCTATGTGTTGTGATCAATTGACTTTGACTACTGGTTGACCGATAATGAAACCGAAATACGAGTATGTGTGTGGATGTTTCGAATATTTCTTTTTATTACCGCAGATACATTTGAAATTTTCCGATATTAAACACGTTTAACTAAATTCTAATAATTTTCTTAATAACGTCTAAAAAATGCCAAGCCATTTAGTATAGACATCTTCGTTGAATATGACATAAAATTGTTAAACTTCATGTTTGTTATTTGTTTAATATTAACACCAGCCACACGTTTAAAACGAATATCTATCATATGCTTGGGTGTAACAAAAAATTAATTGAAAATCGATTCTTGATAATTTTCAAACACAACATTTAAACTTCAAACTAAATAATTTGTTTACTATAGAGGTACGTTGACAAAGGGCAAGACAATTAGAATAAATATATATTATTTATATATATATAAATATATATTATTTTTTAAATGTAGGCCTTAATATAACGAGAAAAACCCAGTGAAGAATTGAATCAAGTGCAACGAAATGCAAATCATTAATATTTATCTTGAAACAACGTGAATCAATTTAACGCATGAAATGTTAACAAACTTATTGTGCAGTGCAAACATGAAAAAGTGAACTCTCCTCTAATAATCACATCACATAATTTGCAACAAAACTATAAATTAACACATCCAGAAAAACTCAAATTCCAACAATCAAATAATATTTTCATCAATACAAAAAATCATTTGATATGAAATTTCGCAGATATTACGTCTGATACATAATGAATTATTAAACATAAAGAATCTTATAAAGTTGTCAAATTTTGTTGCATCTTTTTAATTATATAAACAAAATTAAGTAAGCACATTTATTGAAATACTTGGAAATAATTTGAAAAGATGGAAAAACTGAACGGAATCGAACATCAATAAAACTTCCATTTCCGATTTTACAAATCCGATAAATGGAGCAATGTTTGTGAGCTGATTTTAAGGTGAATTTGATTTTTAGCAAATGAAAGATAATAAATCTGTTTAATACAATTAGATTCACATTAGATTTGTTTAGCGGTCAAAGTGAGTATGTTTAACGTTAAATTCAACTTGCACGTCAACACATACATGCATGTGTGCATATTCTTCAGTATTGTAGCAGGTTTACTAAACGTTGGAGACCACTTGGACGTTAGACAAAAGCTTCTCTATGTATTGTCATGTGACTCGGGTCTTCTTTTTATGATGTTCCAATCTCGCATGCTATATGTCTTCTGCCAACATCACGTCGTCCTTTGGTCTTTTTTTCCCTGATGATGACATGAATGACCAAATATTTCTGTACCTCTCGAAACATTAGCCAGATGAGCTCTTGCCGACTTTATTCATTTTTCTCTCAAGGTTGATTTTTTGAAAACTTAAAAATTATTGCCCGTGTCCGCCCTGAATATTTTGAGCATCCTTCGATGCTTTACGAAACCTATTCCAATCATTCATAATAGTTGGCGATCGATTTGAATCAGCTGTTGATCCAACTCTTCCCGGTAAAAACTGCATCGTTTCAGTCATCTAAAAATTTGGATAAATCCTTGAATGCTTTAATTTATTCAATTAATTATCCTAAGAAATTCGGCAAGTATGTTATAAAAAAAGTTTTAGATGAATAAAGGTTAAAAAAGGTCAAGGATCTGTTACACTCTCAGGAATCAACAAGACACAAACATTGTACATGAATACATGGTAAACGACGCATCACACGTGAAGCATGTGATTGGCGGGGATCTTTCTGTCAGATTTGAACTAGGTCATTGCACGCTCTGCGAAACAGCACCTGCCGACCTTGACCACTAGGCCATCTCGAGTAGTTTTGTAGGTAATTTTCATGCTGCCTGCTACTCAATAGCAGTTCTGGTTTACGAAAGAAATACTTCGGCATTCATTAATAACTTGAGAAGTATGAGCAGCAGACATTTCAGAAACACCTGCAGAAGCTGAACTAATATGATCTTACGTATATACGAACTGAATAAATAAATATAAAAATTGAAAAAATTGTTCGCAGAATTTAAAGTGATAAAAATCATTCTTTGAGACCGAAAAATTACATTTCCATGTACAATTGTCAAAGTGACATATCAATTTTGAAGTCGGAAATTATCTTTCTAAACGTCGAGATACTTTTAAAAAGAATAAATTTAAAAGATAAGGTGGATGAATGTGCAAATTCAACAATATGAAATCAATTTTTCGCAATAAATTATGTACATTTTGTAATTATGAAATGAATGAACTAATTAATCGAACGATTGAAAAATCACCAATTCAAGTGCAGCTTCGTTTGTAAAAAGAAAACCATTATCTTCAATCAAAACAAAACTTTACATACACGTTCGCGTACACATTCTACGTAACAGAATGAACAGAACAGTCTTCAGTTAAACAAATTGGTCTGTTCTTTCTTTTGGACATTCTATTGAAAGATATGCAATGCAAATCATTCTTCAACCCGTTTGCACATAAGCATGTCATATAATGTAAGATGGATAAAAAATTGACACCTATCCAATCCATACATCAGTCATTATAAAGTTATAAACACTCTTAATACTAAGACAAATACAACACCAAAGTATTATCTACTAAGTTAATACTATAACTGTTTTAATTTATTGTTTGTTACGCGAATAAGTTTAAGTAGTAATAAAATTTACACGCTGAAGAAGGAAGATTGCAAACGGTGAAAACAAACAAACAAACAACAACAACATATGATTGACTTGTGTTAAATCTGAGATCAAATTAGTGCAACGTCAGTGCAATTCAATGGTTTTGTTATTCAAACAAAGTTGATGAGTTTAGTGAATAAATGAATGAAAAAAACGATCGATTGAATAAAACGGATAAAAAATATAATAATTATAAAATATATCATACGAAAATAAAACATAAAAATAAGTGGCAATAAGTCCTTTTTTAGAACGGTTGGTATTGATGGAGAAGTCTCCAAGTAAGCATATTAACGTCGAAAGTGTACGTTCTGTATATCACAATGAAGAACTGCGACATCTAAAGCACAACAGAAAATAGAAACACTTCCTTTCAAACACAGCCAAAAACGTTTACTTGCGTGTGTGACTAGTAAGAAATGTGATACGCAAATGTTAACCTGACTACGTCAACCTATCTACCGCATCAACGCGTGCCGACTGCACTTTAAAGCACATTTATATAAATAATTAAACGAAACGACAGCTGTTGTCGTCGTTACGTTAAAGAGTGACAACATCAAAGCAATAAAAAAAATATTAGCACATACACTACGTAGAACAAAATCACAACAACGTCGATGTACGATAAAATTATTTGAAGACTGTATAAAAGTGAGTATGAGCAATATTTGGACAATAATTAAATTTAGCATCAGATCTATCTAAAATTTTTCCTTTCCAAACCACACCATAACTTAACTCCGAATCTAAAAGGATGGATCATGAAATGAGCATATGAGCTTTGACCCCAGGTTCAAGCTGGAGGCAAAGGTCAAGCCCTTATCTTTATCTTGTAGAGCTTCAATTTGAAACCAAGAAGTTCAGTGAGAACAGCTGAGAATGCAGACAGGACGACAACTTTTGTGATGTTGTAGAGGAGGGGGTTGGCTGACAAACCTGAAACTTTGAATGGACTTTCCACTTCCTGAATCGATGAAAATTAAATAAAGTGTCATAATGAACTGAAAATGGTGGGAATGTTTTAACGAAATGTCAACGAAAGACATTAAAAAGAGTTATAATTTTTTTTAATAAAAAAAATAATTCATATAAAATTAAATAAATCAAAAAATATTCTGAAAAAAAAACATACCTTGAGAAGGTCTTCTGCCAGTTTGAGGACACTGTTAGCAAGAAGAAGTTCATTTTTCTTGTGAGGTTTCTGCTCCATATGCAGGTAGAGGTTTATCTGGAGTTGATGGAGTTGAAAGAATTGATGGGGTTGATGGAGTTGATGGAGTTGATGGGGTTGATGATGAAGTTGATGGGGTTGATGATGGAGTTGATGGAGCTAAGTAATAAAGTTCAACGGTAGAAATATTATTTTAAAATGAATTAAAACACTTGAGAAGAATCTTAACGTGAACAGTAATGACAAAGGTGATACAAGTAAAGATAGAAACAACAAAGATAGAAGCAATAAAAATAGAAACAGAAAAATTTCTTTTATAAACCACTTAGTGACGACAGGTAACAAACGTGCATGCCACACGATGGCGCCTACCTGTTCAGTGATCAGCACAGAGAAGTTCCTGTACTTTTTGTTGATGTTCGTTCCGAGGGTGATGAAACGTAAGAGGAAGAGTCCAAGGCTCAGTCCCCACAGAACCAACTCCCAGTTTCCAAGTTCATCCAGAAAGCATCCGTAGTCTTGTAGTAACTGTTGAAATGATGATGGTGGGTGATTCGTGAAAACAAATGGATACGTAATATGATAAAAAGTGATTGATTGTAGGGCGATTATTAATTCTATATGATGAATTCAATATTCTATCTGTTAAATTCATAACAGCCTTTTGTTTGTACAACCTCATAGAAATACATTTTAAACTTCATAAAATGCAATTAAAACAACAGAACACAACACTTACGGAAAGAAAAATTAGTTTATGAAATACGATGCTGATGATGATGTTGTTGATAATGATGATGTTGTTGTTGATGATGATAGTAACGTGATGACGAAACCAATACGAACCTCAATGCATATGGTTGAAATGATGACGACAGCAGCCAGGAATGCAGTTGATACAATTATTTCCACCGATCTCTGAGGGCCTCTCCTCTATTGCCACAATATTTCATGGCATTTTTATTATTGGCATTTGCAATGTTACAAATTACATACCGTGTCATACGTTTACAACACATTACAAAACACATGCATAAATTTACAATGTTAGACTATGCACCTTACATATGATAGTCCACAATAACAGCATGTTACAATGCACATGTTCTGACATTTTATATCATATTAAAACTAATTTCATTGATTTATGGATCAAGTTTTTTAATAACGACTGTAACGCCTCCAACTGAATTTAATTTTGATTGCAGTTATGGACACAACTGTCAAACAAATCGATAATCAGAAAATTTGAACCAAATGCAACCATATGAATGTAAAAAAGTAATGAATATTGCAAAATATGAACTAAATAATGACAATTGAGTAAAAGTATCACACTGCTGACGTAGCATAAGATGCAAGAGCAATGTAGCAAACCTTAAGAAAAGATCTGATAGAAAGCCACGTTTTTATATTTCTCACTTTGTTCAACCTAATTTGAGGATGATACGAATTATTTTAATCGTTTGTTTAAACTCTACAATACAAACCGATTTTAAAATAAAAAAAAACTGAAAAATAAAGATATCAATAGCGAAAACTTAATGTTAACTCGCATACAAGCAAAATACATTCATAATGTCGGCAAACTAAAAATGAAACTATAGAAAAAAAAACAACAAAAAACGTAAACTTGAGAGTGACCTAAAAAACCCAATACCCATCAATATCCAAACCTAATAGCCAACAGTGCAAACCTGAAATGAGGAAGTTGGTACTTCCTGGCTCTCCTCAACGAAGTTAGGTAGCAGAAGTTCTTGGCGTAGAGGAGTCTTTGGTAGAACGTTCGTTCAGAGACGGCAAGCATGAAGAAGAGGATGCAAGCCAGGCCGAGTCGTTGGATCACTCCATTCATTATGATGATCACCTGTCTGAGAGAGGTTGTTGTACGTGCGTACGTGCTGGTTTGATGGGTAGTTTGTAATAAATAAGCAATAAACAGAGTGTTAATGGACAGATCTTGGTGAAAATCATGGAAAAAACATAAAAGAAACTAAAATTAAAACTTCAACGAAGTAATTTCCAACACAATAGCAGCATAATAGCTGAAATATTCACACAAACGTTTACACATTCACGAGCGCACGCACGCACGCACACACATACAAACCTCCAATTATGACCGAATGCCACATGAATGCCAGTATGAAAGCCAACAGTAACATTGCCCTCAAAAACATTGAGACCTTCCAACTGCTGCCAGCCGTGATAGAGACGGAAGATGATGGGAGTGCAAGCAAGCAGGAAGCTGGAAAAGGAACCGAGGAGGAGGTAGTCGTAGGATAAACAGGATTTCTCCACTTTCTTTATTATGTTCCAGCCTGATTATATAAAAAAACGTATTTGAAAACAATAAGGTATTTAATGGTAAGTTATGGTAAGTTGTGGTAAGGTAAGTGACCAATGGACATTAAAGTATTTAAGAGTGACCAATTTAGCGGTAACGCATTTCACAGAAACGCATAATTTACTGGTTCTTTATTTTGGCACTGTCGTTTATATGTAAATTCAGAGTTAAAGTTGTGTTTAACATGATTTAACAAGATTTAACATGAAAATTGCTTATATTACTGATAGGAAAGTCCTTTCATAAAAAACGAAAAAAAAAAATAAAATAGTCCAATGTAGAATTCGATAGAATACAAAACAAGAATAACCAGTCAGCCAACGAACCGATGTCAAGCATCGTCAGATCAACTTTTTGTAGCTCGCCACCTTCCCATATGATGCAACTGACTGCAATGTTGTGTATGCTCGCATGATGGACGTGTTTGTGTATGTGTATATATACATATATATTTATATATATCTATGTGTGTATGTATGCATGTGCGTACATATGCTCTACTCATACAATGTATTGACAGATAATAATTTTATAAATAATTCATCTTTATAGGAAATTAATTTGTTAGACTGAGAGGGTTGTCATTTATAAATTTATATTCCTGATAACTTGAACAGACATGAATTATTTGCCAATAATGAATATATATTGCCATTTATCTTTGTAGAAATATATCCAAAAAGAAAATTTTTATATCATTAAACTCTTCCAAGTAATTTAAACGAACTTCAATAAAACTTATTGATTAGTTGGTATAAAAACATTTTAACATTTTATTTTAAAGTTTACACACACACACACACACACACACACACACACACACACACACACACACACACACGCACGCAAACACAAACACACAATTTTAAGTCCATAGTGACTTCCTTGTACAGTAAACATAAAAAACAATAAATATTTCAGCAGCCAAATAAATTATTTGCTGCACAAATAAAAAATTCAGAATCACACGGCATGATGTAAAAATTAAATTAATTTAAGACATTGAAGAGTAAATTGAAAAGCGCATAAAAAATAAGCGAAAACAACGCAAAACGCAATTTGAATAATATCAACAATAATAAAGAAATAATAAAAAGCAGATTAATAATAATAATATTAAAGTAGAATGAACCAAACTAAGCAGCAAACCTTTATTGCTCGTTGATGTGATGCCCTTGAGAGCTGATGGAGTCCTCCTGACATCAACATCCAGCGGAAACTTGCTGAAAAAGTTGTCAACATTGTTGATGGTGGTGGTTGTGGCGCCTCTACCGACAAACATTTCGTTCGTCGATACACGTGAGCAGTTTTTCAGAGATAAGTCATTTGCAGCACTCAAATGCCCGCTATTGTCCGAAAATACCTGGCCAGGTCATATCAAATGAAAATATTATTGAAATGATGATAATAAATTGGATTGCATGACGTGGAAAATAATGACAGAAAAAACAGCACTGTAAAAAGTGAGCTGATTAGATGAAAAATATTGAAAGGTGGTATGAGTTCAAAGAGATCGGCAGCTATTAAAAGTTAACAAGGTGGACACGAAAATAAAAATAGTGCAAAACAAAAAAGAAAAGAAATGAAGAATGTAAAAGGGCGGTAACATTATCTCCGGGATGTTCGTGGTTTGTGTGGTACAAGTCTTGCTTGTTGCCCTTCAAATTAACCAGCGACGAACTGCGGCCCATCTGATCAGCCAACTTCGTGCCATCATCTCTCCTGGATGCACGTTTGCTCTGTCGTTTGTTGTCCACATCCTCAACATTCCCACCATTCAACATGGCCTGTTTGTATGGCGATGAATCATTTCCATCCAGGTTCAACCTTGATGAAGAGAGAGATTTCACCTCGAGGAAACCTAATTTTTTCTTTGTTGAGTTGCCCTCCGTCTCATGTTTGCGTTGAAGTAAGTGATGATTGTTTATGCCGGCATTCACGTCTGATGGTGATTTTAAGAAAGTTTTTTTGTGGTTGCTAACCAGTTCGACTTTGATTTGAGGTTTTGAATAAGTCGTCGTTTTAGAATTTGTGGTAAACTGTCTTGGTGCAGCATGGTGATATGATTTCTGTGTAGTTGAGGATACTTTGTGTAAGGTAGTGTCGTCTGCTGATGATGTTGATGGCGTTGGTTTCGAAGGGGGCTTTGATAGAAGCAAGTTTCGTTTTCTCAACAAACATCCACCGTTAGCATCAAGCTTACTGCTCTTGTTACTTTGAAAGAGTAGAAAATCTTTTGAATCAATTCTCTCATTTTTAGAATATTCTTCATCTTGATCACTATCTGCGTGAGAATTATTTTGCGTTTGCATTTCCTGCTGCATCTCGAGGTAAAATCGTCCTGCGCCAGAACGCATGCACTCATCAACATCTTCATCATCAGCGTCTTCGTGTCTTTCATTACAGTTGTTCATCATCACGACATCTTCTTCGGCTACATCGTCGTCGTCGTCGTCGTCGTCATCATCATCCTCATCAGAGTTGATGGTCGACGTGGTTGAGTTCGTGTCGTGGCCCTCACCCCTGATTGACAGATGTCGATTGGTCAGCTGACTAGAATGTACGTTTCCAGAGTTGGGTAGCAATAATGACGTCAGCTCATACGCAACGACATCATCTTCTTCCTCGTCATCATCAGTGTTGAAATGCATTCTGTGCTGTTGATGATGTTGATGAGGATGTTGTTTGATGTTGCTATTTCTATTCTTGAAGACGCAACTCTTTGAATGGCAAGAGTTTGATTGCCTGTCGATACCATTAGGAGCAAAAGGCTTACCATACAACTTGGACTTCTCGTCAAGATGAAAGCTTCTGTTATAATTTTCAGTGTTTGTCATGTTGTTCATGTTCAAATTGTTCTCATTTCGAGAGCTAGCAGACGATTTCAAGTTGCATTCTGAAGTTTTCGTGTTGTGATGTGATGGCGGAGGAGATGAGATGTGAGAGTCTGTTGTCAGCCTGCTCTGCAAGCAGCAGTTGCAGCTTCTTGCAGATTTCACATCTTCAGGTCTGTGGGTGTCAGTACAAATTAGTAGCAGCTCGCATTCACCAACCATTTAAAACTACAAAAAAAAATGTCGCAAATAGTTTCAAGGCAGTGATACATGCATGTTCATTAGTGCATTAAACGTTCATTATAAAGAAGTACGTAGTACTGAGTCAAACAGTTTATTGTCTAATATAAATTTAAATGTGGTTCTAAGAAAAAGATTAACCCATCAGAATGATGATCATTATCTTTATTATCATCTGAGTAGATGTTGTTGATGTCGGCCAAGATGTCATCATCGTCGTCATCATAAAAAATGTTATTAAAGTTCTGACTTTTCATTGGACTTAATCTACAATAAAATTTATTTATTATCCAAAAATAAATAAATTTGTTTTATACATCAGCTCATGTAACATAAAAATGAATGAATGAATAAATAAATAAATAAATGAATAAACGATCAATAAAATACAACGAACTCAAACATGAATGAACATGAGGCAACTCAAACAAGCATCGAATATAAATAAATAAAATCAATACTTCTCTATCAGATTAACATTTAAAAAAAAACAAATGACGAAAACCAAAAAAATAACCATTTCATTACATGTATGAATTCAGCAATATCATCATCATCATAATTGCCATTCATCATGCCCATCTTAGCAACCACCATCATATCATCATTCTAAGTATATGTAGACAAAATGCAAACCTATCTCTGTACTGTGAGATCTTATACGTGGAGGACGTCTTATCTTTCTGTTGTTGCTGCTGTTGTTGTTGCTGCTGTTGTTGTTGTTGCTGGTGTTGAATGGCAGCAGCTGAAGACGACGAAACAATCTGAGTATGAACAATGGCCAGGACTAGAATCATGATGCATGGAGTTAGCAGGTGGGCCAGGGAGAGAGCCTACGTTTTTTTTCTTCATTCATTATCAACTATCCAATTAATTAATTAATTAATTAATTATTAAAAATAAATAAAAACAAACTATAAATCGAATAAATTAAAAATAGAACAAAAAAAATGGTTGGCTGAGTTGAGCTGAGCAGCACGGCACAGCAGAGCACGGCAGAAGACGGCACGCGACAGCTAACCACCTCATCATTTGGAGTGAGATCGTCGGTGAAATAGATGTAGAACGCGCTGGATTGAAGGGCGTAGAGGAACGCAAGCAAGATGAACGTCGACCTACCACAACAATCTACCCACCTGGTACGTTAGGAATATATTTATCCAGGCAATTAATAACGTGTAACAAGGATAACATTATTACTACAAACTATAATAATATTTTTAATATTAATAATAATAGTTAATAATGAAAAGTTGAGATGTCCATTAAAAATTCGGCCAACCATTTGTAGTAGAGAGGTAGGAGCAAGATTCTGACAAGTGACATTCGAGAGATTGTCAACCAGCTGTGACGAGGCTTGATCTTGGAAAATGTCGAACCTTCATTGGCAAAAATTAAATGGGAAAATTTTAATTATAAGAAGAAAGTAGTTGAAGAATTTATTTAACTTTCTTCTCTATGGCAGACTTAATAAAACAGACTATAATTGTAATTATAAACAGTAATGAACTCTAATAAATAGTCTAACTGTAAGTAGATATTTAATTGCTGGCTGATCTAGATCCTATGAAATTATAAAGGCAGCTCAGTTTTTTACAAAATTATTGGAGTTGGTGTAATAATTTGAGTGGTGTGCGTGTGAACTTGCACGGATCTAAGAATATATGGTTTACTGGGTCATATAAACACCTCCACACACACACACACACACACACACACACACACACACACACACACACACACACACACCCCATACAAACACATAACAGCTCACTATATATACATAATCTACATAAGCATTTGAATGTAGGTAATCGATAATTTGCAAGAACATTTTATAATTAAGCTTATTCATGTAAAAACTGTCTCATTATACATTGACTTAAGTAAGGTGCTGACAAAAATCTAAATATAAGCCACCACAAACGTGCAGAAAGACATCCAGACCAGACGCAACAAATAGCCGGCATGAACAAATGCTCATTTCATACATAACACACCACAGATGTTCATTTCGTGCACATCGTAACATCTGAACTGACACATGCACATAAAACATGGACGGCGTCCCATAATTGAGAGAATGTAAAAAAAAGGTGATATGAATGATGAAGAGAGTAGGAATGTAAGAAGAAATAGAAAAATGACGACAAGAAGGATGAAAACATAAATAAACTTACCTCTGACGAGGTCGACATCAATCAGATCTTTGTTCACTTTGGCTCTCTTCTTCGTCAAATTGTGCAGGCTCTGGTGTGGTGGTCAAATAATGCTCTTAGTGTCAATGTTCACATTATATTTTTACTAAATAATTAAAGTTTTGTTTGCAGCAATTGTGGTGGGCATTTGATTTTTTGTTCCACAGTGCCATCACGAAAACATATCAAATTCTTTTTCAATTTTTAAAACTTGAAAACAGAATTCTTATAAAATATTCTAGATGTAATATTAATTGTCACCTCCACCTTCTTCATTTTCAAAGCCACCTTGAAGTTTAACTGCGTGTACGAGACATGAAGCAACAAAACATTTACATTTAAAGCTCATCCCAGCTGTTCAATCTGCACGCATAGACGCACATTATGCACGATCTCTTCTTCATCTCAACCCTGTTATCCAAAACCTATTTCAAGTTGGTACACTCCCCCCCCCCCCACAAAGCACTCAATGCATATGCTCAATTATTTCCAAATGTAAAATTGTAAAATGTCATTTACTTCTTTGTTATCAGTGAACTTCATTATGAAAACGAACTAACACCAGAAGATATAAAATCTTTCCAATACACTTTACTCAGCAAATTCAACGTTAATTACTTTTTGATGCAAACTTAAATAAACTTCAGCTTTTATCAACAGCTGGACGCCAGCCAACATCATCACATCGCAACATCATCTACATGCCATCCCTGCAGCATGCACAATGTACATCAAAACAAGTCACATTTATTAACGAAATTTGAAATATACTAGCATCCTTCGTCTACATTGATTAACTGAAAATACATGTAACCATCCAATGTAGAATGGATGTACATGTATAAACACTCACAGAAAGAAAATAAACAATTGTAATAGTAACTTAAATAGCCGGACTAATGTTAAGACAACAGCAAAAAACAAAGCATGCCACGTCGTTAGCTTCATAGCAACATTTAACAATTGAAAAATTTAAAACATCTTTGCGCACGCACACACTTACAGATGTTATTTATCATATATATATATATATATATATATATATATATATATATATATATTAAATATATATACAGTCGTTTAAAAATATCACAGCATTGCATGCTTTGTTTAATTTGCAAATGAGTTTTTTCAATTTTTCGTACGACGAATTTCAGTTCATTATCAAGTTTGTTCAGTTCATAAACAAAATTTATATTTTGCATTTTCGTCTTGCGCATTCTAACATTAAAAGCTTTTTCTCGACAATCATATGTCACCATGAGCGTTGAATACCGATTTTGTTTTATGTGTCCGTTTATATAGCTTTTGAGTGACTGGATACTACTGGATACTATTTGCTACTGTGTCCTCACTACTTGACAATAACGTAAAAATAGTTCACTACAACAACAATCCAGACAATCTAGGGATTGTTGCAGAATCTTCGCTCATCAAATAAAGCAATAAATATTCAACAACACGCACGCGAAGCTGTGATAGTTTTAAACAACTGCATATCAGATAGTCTCTATCCAATATATATATATATATATATATATATATATATATATTATATACATACATACACACACAGACACACATACCCAAACAGATATATATTATATCTATAAAGTCTGAAAATCAATTATTGTTGTTGATGGTGCAATACATTTTTAAAAAGCAATCAATTAAAATGAATCATATGCCATTTTTTTTAAAAAGTGTTGATCTTATCGTAAATACGTAACAAAAATAAATAAACAATAAAAATAGATACAAAAATAAGAAATAAATGCGACATTCTGTCAAGCAAAAACAACAACAATAATATCATTAGAATAATGATAAAAACAAAAAAATAAAAACATATCATTAAAAATAAATTGGTTTATACATATACTGCATTATTATTATTATTTATATTATTATTATTATTATTTATATTATTATTATTATTATTATTATTATTATTTTTATAAGCGAAGCCATGTCTACTAACTGTCTCAACTTGGTGCGGTAGCGGACTCATCTTTAGACGTAGAATAGTTACACATGGAATAACCGACCATGTAATGGTTGCAATAATTAGAAATTTGGTAAGCTGTTCATTTAATAAGAGAAAGGAATCCATTGATGAGAATTAAATTCTTTTACGCTGATGTGGAAGATCACGACGCTCTTACTACAGCATCATGCATGATGAAAATATAATTAATAACACCTTTGTGTCATCATACTCTCACTCATTCACTCATCAACCCACTCATTCATTCATCTACTCACTCATTTCCTCTTTCACTCACTCATTCACTCATTAACACACACTTCCGAAATTGTAGTCTTAATTTAATCTTTTAAAATTTAGTCTTAAATTAATCTTTTAATCAGAGTATAGTTTGGCATGTTGGTAAACCTTCTTCAATACTCATTAATAGACTGTCACGTCAAAATAAATTGCCGATTATATGAAAGGGAGTGAATATCAGCAATGTTCAATTTGTTGATATTTACTGAGTGTTGTTTCCAAGAAATCCTTCATCATTTTCAAACAGCATGGTGATCAATGACTTCTATAGATTCATGTATCTTGCGATCAAAAACTCTTAGAGATATCCCTGGCTTATATCAATCAGTCTTCCAGAATTTTTGATTTCTTTTCGTAACTTTACATTTTTATAAAAACGTATATGCAGTATAGAATAAGCAACAACATAGACACACGCACGCACACACACACGCACGCACACACACGCACAAACGCTCTGCACACACATAGATAAAAAGGATGCTTAATTTTAAATTTTTATACCAGCATTCTCCTCAGAAAAAAAAAACATTCAAAATCAGAAAAAATATTGTTAATCTAAATGTGACAAGCACTACAAATTGATTTAACGTTGAAATAAAATTGATAAAAACTTAATGCCACGAAAAAAATAATTGTAACAATCAAATACATTGCAAACAGAAGCATAGCAACGTAAAAAAACATCTAAAAAAGTAACATAGCATCTTTTGATATTATTGATTTACCACAGAGTTGGGAGCAAACATGGAGAACAAGGACAAAGAAATGGAAAAACATTTTTCTTTCCATTTTGTTCTGCACACAAAACCCCAAATGTATACAAATATACACACACACATACACACAAACACACACACATCACGTTTGTTTGCGTGTGGTGTGGTGTGTGTGTGTAATTGTGTATGTTTTTGTATAAACATACAAAAAGCCATAGTCCAGACAACATAAATAATGA